CAGCTAACCACTTCCTTTCAGGATGCCAAGCAAGAGCTGTGATTGGAACCACAGAATGTCCAGAGGCTTTAACCTCGGATAAATGTTCTCCTTGATCGTCGTAAACACTAATAAAGCAACCTTTTTCTTGGGAGTGCACAGCAACAGCAAGAAGTGGCAAATTTGAATGCCATGCTATAATAGAACTCACTGATGTCACATCAAGGTTTTGTACTCTAGTGTCAAAATACAATGACATTTTATTGTTTGTATTTGCTTACAATCATTAAAGATAGATTCATATATATATATTAAAAAAATTAAATAATGATAAATAAATAATTTAAAATAAAAAACAAGTAATTATTAAAGTAAAATTATCATAGCAACCGTTGCTAATCAGATACCATTCGTATAAACAAATTCCTCCTGAGAAAACGAAACGAGCATAATTAATAGGCTGCGCGTGCAGCGCCCACTTACTATTTCCTATTCAAATAATGAAATTCGAATTCGTTGCATTTTCATAATAAAGATTAATAATAAAAACGTTTATTGTAATTAATTATATATACATAATAGTATAATTTTATCATGAAATTTTATTTTTTTTAAATTATCTAATTTGACTTCATAAAGATTATACTTTCTGTAAAAAAATAAGTATTATTTTATGGAATTGTTTAATACTTCATATACGTATAATATGTTAACGTAAAAGTTTTTAATGTAAAGATCAACTGCCGCACATTTAAATGAATTTATAAATTTTACTTATATTGTCATAGAAATTTTTTTTGCAATATTTATCCGATAATGCCATTTGTAATGAATCGTATTTTTTATGAGGTCGTGTTTGTAGATTATTAATCTTTATATTCCGTTCTTAATGGCGTAGCATTTTTTTAGTTAATGCTTTTAAACATAAGTAAATAATAAATAAAACGTGCTAAAAAAGTAAAATAAATTACAAACGATATAACAAAATTTATATATTTATTAAATATTTGATTAATTCCTGTTAATTTATACAAAATTAAAAAATTTAAGACATCACAATATTATCATTTGGTATTAATGAATAATGTGAGAATTACATTCAAATGAAAATGTACACATGTGCGCTTACACGCGCGCGCACTTTTTCCTGAATTCAATAACAAAAGAATTCGTTATTCTTATCCTTAAAAATACTTGAATAAAATGATAAAGATTCTTCCCATACTCTTCTTATATTTTATGGACAATTTTTTCGTATTGCCATCACGTTTTTTTTTAATAGCGCTTTCTCTTGTTGATGAGTTTCGGTTTGCTGACGCGAAGCTATCTCAATATTATTTCTCATTTTAGATAATTCTTCCATTATACTTTTATGCTGCTCTATGAGCATTGATTGTAATTTTCCATCCTATCATAAACAATTAAATCTTTAAACGCACTATGGTATTCTAAGAAATGTATAAAGATTGCACGAATACATTACATCTTGAGTTTTTATTTCAACCAACTGCTGAAGCTCTTTTATTTGTTCGCACAAAGAATCGATTTCATTTAGCTTTTGGGTCAATTGTACCTCTTTTTGACGAACCATTTCGTCTCGCGAATTTATTTGTAACTCTTTTTCTTGCAACATTTTTTCGTATTCTATTTTCGTACATTCAAGCTTATGAAGCCACTGTTCTTCGCTTACTTTTACAAACTCTTTCTATAAAATAAATTTTAATTTCCATTTGAATATCATATATTTTATTTTAAACGAATGGTAAAAATTTGTCACATTAAATAAATAGAATCTTTGCTTACTTTTTCTCGGTTCAACTCTTGTAACTTCGTTTCAATTACAGCGATTTTATTATTCAAATCCTCATTTTCACTTCGTGCATTTTCCAACTGATGTTTCATTTTCTTGAAATGTTCCGTCATTTTAATCTTGTATTGATCGACGATTTCCTTGTGATGTTTTTCGAGTATGGTTTTCAGTTCGTGCACCTCCATTAGCCTTAAACACGCAAAGCTTTTCTTTCGTTCGAAAATATTTAGAATTCTCAGTAACAAGAAATACTCACTTGTTTTTTAAACTTGTAATTTCTGTCATCAATTGCTTAATGCGCAAATGTAAATGCGGTATTTCGTCGGATGTTGAAACGTTGTGATAATACATTAATTTCTGCTTTAATTTTTCATTTTGATTCTCCAATTCTTCCACAATGGTACTCAATGTTTCTATTCGATTTCTGTAAGTCCTGAGTAAGTTCTTCTCACACCTTGGAATTTCGAACTACCTTTAATTCTCAAATTATATCTTAGAACTATAAAGTATACATATACCAGTATGGGTGTTTATACACATCTCTCTCTCTCTCTCTCTCTCTCTCTCTCT